AACCGCTTCGTCTTCTTCAATTCGTAGTGCCGCCATTTGCCGTTCCAACACCACCGCTACCGCCGCTGTTGCAGGAGCATGTACACCCTTGAGAGCAGCCCATGCCTTTGGTCCTTTCTCTGGTTCACGCTGGAATGGCTTGATGTGACGGATCTGACTGCTCCCCAACGCTTGCCCAAGTAAGAGATAGCCTTGTGCGCTCTTCCGCACCCACGGGCTCTTCTCCGGGTCGTTCTCGGGGCGCTTCTCCGTTCCTTCCATCACCTCCAGCAGGTCATAGTGGTCAAAGATGTTCTCCATCTTGAAGGACCATTCAGCAAAGTTGTCACCGTTGAACTTGTCAAGCCCAAACACCCTAGGCTCATCCCTAGGTGGGCCAAGACTTGGTTGCATGGGCGCCATGGCTGAATCGCGGGGTTGGCCTTGAGCTTGAGCTTCTCCACTGCCACCAGCACCTCTGCCACCCCTTTCCTCAGGTCCAGACATTGTCGAAACTGCTCCAAGGGGCTCTGATACCACTTTTTATAGTCACAATAGGCTTGAATGTGCCTAAAACGAAAGATAGAGAGCACAGACGGATTTCTGCACAGCGGCTTCAAACGTTGATAGCGTTCTGCTCACAGCTGCAAATGACTTGATTCAAATTGGATCTGGAGCGTCTTCACGTCGTCTACAATTAGCAATTTAGATTGCACGATTTGCTAAAGAATTGACGACACAGCGTCGGTTTGAACGAACGGTACTATGGCAGCCACTATAGTCTTAGAACACAAGATAGGAAGAGTTACGAGTTGGGAATGACTCCCAGCTCCTACAAACCCCAAGAGCCGAGGTACAGTGATGTGGAACAGTGCCACACTGTCCCCAACCACGAAGGGTCTCGAAACTACCCTTCACTAGGGCCTACACCAAGTGAAATGTTACACTACACAAAGTAATGTAACTATCTTCAATATCTTGAGGTGTACCCTTTTGGCAAGCTTCGAAATCACTTGAGGCTTGACACCAAGGCTCGGGCTCTTCATCACAAACTCATCCTTGAGTTCTTGATGGGTCTGCTGCACACACCTGCGACACGCCGAACGTTCGACACAGGACAAAATAGAAACCGCGCACGACAAAATAGAAACCGCGCGCGAGACACAAACGACCGCGTAACACGCGTCTAGCGATAACTCGCTATTGACTCGACACACACACTCGACATCATGACTCAACATTCACACACAATTATAAGCATGAAATATATATTATCCCATGCCCTCATACCATTCCATACACACACACATTCACGCACACGGACAACAAGCCGAGTGCAAACCGTAGGGTTGCACCAACACTCAGCACCCCCAGACTCCGCACCCCCAGGCTCCGCACCCCCAGGCTCCGCACCCCCAGGCTCCGCACGCTCAGGCTCAGCACCCTCAGCAGGACGAGAGTCGACAGCTACCTCGACAGGCTCAACCGGGTCTACCTGGGACACACCTGAGGGAGCGGCACCCTGAGGGGGGAGGGGGTCTACCACAGCAGCACCTGGCGCGAGGAAGAGAGGCGGGGGGGGAAGCGGGGCAGTGCGGTAGGGGAAGAGGCGGTAGTAGGGGACGGACTCGTCGAACGTGACGTCCTGAGAAGGCAGGACACTGCGCGAGGTGGGGTGGTAAAACTGCCAACCAGACGCGTCCGGGACAAAGCCAAGGAAGACACAAGGAACAGCGCGGGAGGAGAGCTTGTCCGCAGACGTATCGCGGACAAAAGCTCGAGATCCCCAGACACGAAAGCGTGACGCATCGCCAACCTCTCCCGTCCAACGCAGTGTCGGCGAAGTCTCCGGAACGGAGACACGGGGCCAGAGGTTGAGCTGATGCGCAGCGTAGCGGACCGCAAACGGCCACAGAAAGTGGGGGGCAGCCGCATGGATCAAGGAGGTACGAGCGACCTCCATGACCAAGCCAATGCGGCGCTCAGCAACCCCATTCTGCTGTGGAGAGGCCGGAAGCGTGAACGACTGGCGAATGCCGTGCTCCGCACAGTAGGCTGCCAAGAGGTCGGAGGAGAACTCACCACCTCTGTCAGAAAGCAAGCGCAGGACAGGAAAGTCCGAGTGGAAACGCTCGCTGAGCTGGAGACGAGAAGCGCGGATCCAAGGGATCAATACATCAGGGACCTCACCCTTGGTGCGCAAGGGGAAGACCGTGGTGTAGCGCGAGTAGTCGTCAACAACTATCAGGAAGTACCTCTCCTGACCCTGACCACGGACGCGGGCTGGGCCCCACACGTCCATGTGGAGCGTCTGCAAGGGAGCAGTCGTCGGGGGAAACGAGGAGGAGTGAGGAGCGGCGCGCTGCCGCCCCTCGACACAGGGAAGACAGGGAGGAGCAGGCGAGGGTGGGAGGGGAGGGAGAACCCTGGGAAGACCAGAGACAAGGTACCGTTTGTGCATGGCACGAAGGCGCTGCACGGACGGGTGACCAAGTCGGTGGTGCCAGAGGATGGTCTCGTGCGCCAGAGAGTGACACGAGCAGGGGGCCGACAGCTGACCTGACGCAGACGCAGACGCAGCTACCTGAGGGGACTCAGTGGTCAGTGTGTACAGGTCCGACCCCGGCTGCCGAGTGAAGGTAGCCAGGTGACGGCCCGTCCGAGCACACGTGCAGTGTGTCACGCGCTCGTAGGCAGGGGTGAACTGGTGGACACCCCCGTCCTGGAGCGCACAACCTGCCACCAAGTTCGTAGAGAACGAGGGGAGGTGGAGACCTGACAGTGTGCCCGACGGGACCGCAGGACAAGGAAGGACAGTGGAGGAGGTCGCAATGACCGGACCCCCAGAGGGGTCAGCGAGAGAGACAGCAACTGGCCGAGCAAGCGGCTCAAGGGTAGTGCGGTCACGAAAGAAACAGCGAGAAGCACCTGAGTCCAGTGTGAAGGTGTGCAGTGCCTCAGTCGACTCAGTACCAGGGGGGGCAGACTCACTAGCACCTAGAGCAGCAGCCTCACCAGCACCTGGGGTAGCAGACACGCGAGTACCGGGAGTGGTAGCCTCACCAGCACCTAGGGCAACAGACGCACTAGCACCTAGAGCGGTAGCCTCACTCACAGGACACGGCAGCTGCACCTGTCCACTACCAGAAGTTCCCGAACGACGCACTCCAGAGCGACTACCACTACGGCCACCCCGACAGCCCCAACTGGCGTACCACTCACGAAGCTGCTGGGGCGAAAGAGGACACGGTAGCTGCACCTGTCCACTACCAGAAGCTCCCGACCGACCCACTCCAGAGCGAATACCACTACGGCCACCCCGACAGCCCCAACTAGCGTACCACTCACGAAGCTGCTGGGGCGAAAGAGGACACGACAGCTGCACCTGTCCACTACCAGGAGCTCCCGAACGACCCACTCGAGAGCGACTACCACTACGGCCACCCCGACAGCCCCAACTAGCGTACCACTCACGAAGCTGCTGGGGCGTGAGGGACTCACGCGCACGGCCCTGGAGCTGCATCTGGCCACGCCAGGAGCAGCAGTAGCAGCAGTAGCGGCAGTAACAGCAGTAATAGTAGGAGCAGTAGAGGCAGTAGCAGCAGTAGTAGTGGTAGCAGTGCGGGCAGGGTAATGCTCACCAGTGGTCGGCGCGGTAGGCGCAAGACGGTGGCGACAGCGGGGCCGCTACAACTGCAGGGCGGGGCTGGGCCGCGGCAGGGAGCTCCGCGGCAGCTGCTGCAGGGCGGGGCCGGGCCGCGACGGCAGCTGCTCCAGGGGTCAGGGGCGGCTGCTGCAGGGGCGGCTGCTCCAGTGGCCAGGGGCGGCTCTTGCAGTGGCGGCTGGTCCAAGGGCCAGGGACGGCTGCTGCAGGGGCGGCTGCTCCAGGGTCCAGGGGCGGCTCCTGCTGTGGTGGCTGCTCCAGGTGGCCAGGGGCGGCTGCTGCAGGGGCGGCTGCTCCAGGGTCCAGGGGCGGCTGTAGGTGCAGCTGCTCCAGAGGCCAGGGGCGGCCGTCCCAAGGGCGGGCGCGGGGTAGAGCAGGGCGCCACGGTGAGCAGGGGCGACGCGCGGGTCGCGCGCGGGGGCGACGCGACGAGGCAGGGGCGACGCGTGCGGGTCCCGCAGCTGCGTCGCGACGAGGCGGGGGCGACGCGCGGGTCCCGCAGCTGCGTCGCGACGAGGCGGGGGCGACGCGCGGGTCCCGCAGCTGCGTCGCGACGAGGCGGGGGCGACGCGCGGGTCCCGCAGCTGCGTCGCGACGAGGCGGGGGCGACGCGTGGGTCCCGCAGCTGCGTCGCGACGAGGCGGGGGCGACTCGCGGGTCCCGTAAGGGCGTCGCGAAGGGGCAGGGGGGGCGACGCGCACGGGTTCCGGCGGGCTGCAGGCGTCGGCGTGAAGTAGCCGCGGCGCGCGGGTCACGGCCTGCGCGTGAGCGGCCTACGGGCGGCCTACGGGCTGCCTACGGGCTGCCTACGGGCTGCCTACGGACGGCAGCGTCCTACGGGCGTCGTACTGGCGGCCTACGGGCGGCCGCGGCCTACGGGCTACGTACGGGCAGCGTAAGGGCGGCCTACAGGCGACGGCAGGCGACGGGCAGCCTACGGGCGATGGGCAGCCTACGGGCGGCGGCCACTAGGGCGCACGACGGCGCTAGTAGGGGCGCTCGACGGCGCTAGAAGGGGCGCTCGACGGCGCTAGGAGGGGCGCTCGACGGCGCAAGAAGGGGCGCTCGACGGCGCGAGAAGGGGCGCTCGACGGCGCGGTGGAACGGTGGGCCCAAACCAACTTCGGTCCTAGGTCCTGACCTAGGCGTCGGATACCATGTTGTAAAGTAGAGGTGAACGAGAATGGATGAAACTAGGTAGGAGGGGGATACAAGTAGGAAACCCTAACAAAGTTGTACCCCCTAAGGCTAAACCCACTATAGCCTACACAATTTAAACATATAATGTTTGACAGTCCTTGAGGACAAGTTGGAGGACTTTGAGTGTCTAGCAGCTGCTGTACCTCGTTTCGCTTCCATGCTGCTTGTCCCTGAGGGAGACCCGGATGCACCAGACATCCCGACCCCGTGGTCTTACTCAGAGGCGATTACGGGTCCTTACTCCTCTCAGTGGCAGGCAGCCATGGATGCTGAGATGGCATCCTGGAAGTCCACAGGCACCTACGTCAACGAGGTTCCCCCACCAGGGGCGAACATAGTCGATGGCATGTGGATTTTCAGGGTGAAGCAGCCGCCGGGTTCTCCGCCTGCTTTCAAGGCGCGTTACGTTGCTCGAGGCTTCAGTCAGCGACAGGGAGTTGACTACTTCCAGACCTTCTCCCCCACCCCAAAGATGACTACTCTTCGGGTGTTCCTACACGTCGCAGCTCAGCGTGACTACGAGTTGCACTCTCTGGACTTCAGCACAGTTTTCTTGCAGGGCAACCTGCACGAGGAGATCTGACTGCGCCGCCCACGTGGCTTCACTGGGTCGTTTCCAGCAGGTACCTAGTGGAGCCTCCAACGGCCAGTATACGGTCTCCGCCAGGCGCCTCGCGAGTGGCACGACACACTGAGGACTTCACTTGCGGCTCTTGGGTTTGCTCTTTCTACTACTGACCCGTCGCTGTTTCTACGCACCGACACCTCGCTGCCACGGTTCTACGTCCTCGTGTACGTCGACGACCTCGTCTTTGCTACTGCTGACACCGAGGCACTGACCCTTGTAAAGTTGGAGCTGCAGAAGAGACACGACCTGACCTCGCGTACCTTCTCAGCCTCCTAGCTCGCTACGTGGCTCCCGGCAGGCACCAAAAGGTGCACTGGGATGCTGCAAAGAGGGTACTGCGTTACTTGTGTAGTACGTCGGGCATGTGGCTCGTGCTTGGAGGAGAGGGTCCAGTTGTCCTCACTGGTCACGTAGACGCTTCTTAGGTTGACGACTCAGCTACGCAGCGATCGTCACAAGGTTACACCTTCAGCCTCGATTCCGGCTCTGTTTCCTAGCGGTCTACCCGCTCGTCTTCGGTTCTCAGCTCCAGTTGTGAGGCTGAGATCTACGCAAGGGCCATGGTTGCACAGGAGATACTCTGGCTCACCTACCTGCTGACTGACTTGGGAGAGCAGCCTCGTTCGCCTCCAGTTCTGTACGTAGACAACAAGGCCATGATTGCCTTGTGTCAGGAGCACAGACTGGAGCACAGAACGAAGCACATTGCTCTGCGATACTTCCTTGCTCAAGAGTTGCAGCAGCATGGCCAGCTTCGTCTTGCGTACGTGGCCACTAGGGCCAGCACTGCTGATATATTCACCAAGGCACTTCCGCCTGGTGATCATCAGCGCTTCTCTACTGTGTTAGGCCTTGTACCTACTTTGCCTCACTTGATCACTGCTTGACTCTGCTTGTACTGTGATCTATATATATACCTGCATGCTTACACTTGCTAGGGTATGATCACTGTGTTGTTTGTTCTCTTTTGTATAACTCTTCATGTGAACTGGCCTTGTGGCCCTTTGCTTGTGCTCGGACTGTGTGGTGACTTTGTGATCCACCTCGAGCTTGCTTTGCTTTTCTTGACTGGTCTTGTGACCACTTGTTCTCCCCCACGTTGCCTATGGGGGTGTGTCACAATGTTGTGTAGCTTATATTGTGTAGGCTATAGTGGGGTAGCCCATAAGGGGTACAACCCAATTAGGGTTAGTACTTGTACCCAACTCTTTGGTAGTTCATTCATTCTCGTTCATTCACTTGACAGCAGGTGCCTAAGGACTTGATCACGAACGAGCAACACACGTCGGAACGTCCCGATGTGAGTTCTGTGCTCGCAAAAGAGTTTGGACAGTATGCTCGCAAAGAAGCCGATACCTTCTTTGTGGTACAGCTTGAGAATGTTGAATGGGAGATGCCTGGGGTCGAGGATTTCCTGCCTCAGATGAAAGCACTGGCGGACGAGTTTGCGGAGGTTTTTGAGCCCATCCCAGATGGCCTTCCTCCGGACTGTGATGTCGGTCACACCATCCCAGTGGAGCCTGGAAAACTCCCACCATTTAGACCTGTGTATCGCCTCAGTCCAGCTGCGTACGTGGAAGCTAAGGAACAGATTGAGGAATATCTCTGGAAGGGATGGATTGAACCAAGCGCATCACCTTATGGAGCGCTGATCCTGTTCGTAAACAAAAAGGGTGGAGGATTATGCATGTGTGTAGACTACCGTGCTCTGAACAAGATAACGGTGAAAAACAGATACCCACTACCAAGAATTGAGGATTTGTTTGACAAACTCCAAGGTTCCCAGTGGTTCAGCGCATTGGACCTCGCGCAGGGGTATCACCAATTGCGCATCACTTAAGAAGATGTACCCAAAACGGCTTTCCGATCGTCGTTTGGTTATTTTCAGTGGCGAGTGGTGATCTTTGGCTTGACCAATGCTCCTGCCTCTTTTCAGAGGACCATGAATGATGTCTTTCGCGAGGCGATTGGACAGTCCGTTTTGGTCTATCTGGATGATATCTTGGTTTATTCCAAGACAGGAGAGGAGCACACGCAACAACTTAAGTGGGAAATGATGGTCTCACAGTAGACCCAAACAAAGTTGTCGCAGTCCAGAACTGGCCGGTGCCACAAGATGTGGGTCAAATCAGGTCGTTTTTGGGACTGGCGAACTATTTTCGTCGATTTTTGCAGAATTATTCTACAATTGTTTCTCCATTGACGGCCCTCACTCGCAAGAGTAGTGCTTGGCAATGTACACAACAATGCCAAAAGGCATTCGACGAGGTCAAGCGAATGCTGACCAACGCTCCAGTACTGGTTTTACCAGATCCGACAAAGCCCTATGAGGTTGTTACTGATGCCTCATTGATTGGGATTGGGGTGGTCCTCTTGCAAGAAGGGAGACCAATGGCATTTGAGAGTCGAAAGCTCTCCCCGGCAGAGCAGCGCTATACGACATCCGAAAAGGAATTGTTGGCGGTCGTTCATGCGCTACAAACATGGCGATGTTATGTGGAGGGTGTGGACTTTGTGGTTACTGTTAGAGACTAAGGACGGAGTCTATGAAGATTAGGGGCTGAAATATCTCAAAATCGTCAACTACAATTCTGGACAGAAAAGTCGTTGTCACAAGAAACGACGAAAGGACCACTGTTATAATTCTTTCAAACTCGAGTATGTTGTAGCCCTTGACCGTGGCTATCTTTCCCAATTTGAATACTATCAAAATATGGAGTATAACTGGAGTTATGAACTTCGGCGCACTAGGGGGTATGCTGCCATAGAAAACGTAACTCAATCACAATTATCTCACAAGTTCACACAAGAAAGTTAGAGTAGCAATAGAACCAGGTAGGAGGGGACGAGGAGGACGAGAGGGAAGGTCCCAAGGGAGTCCCCAACCAAGGACACCCCATACCACACAATTCCCCTCTCTATAGGCACCCCAACTTTGACATTTGTCACTTTCCCAACTCATGCCATCCACCTTACCCAACTTGGCCACACTTGCCAACCTGGTTTGGCACCTCCCAACCACTTGGCAGCATCTACAGTGATGTTGACGAATTTCCCAACCCCCAAGAGTCTGTACTCCTTATGGAGTCAACACCACAACTTCCCATAGTCACCACAACCAAATATCAAAAGCATACGAACTTCCAACGTTCGTAACTTTCTTGTTCGTGCTCCGATTGAAGCGATACTTGGTTCGTCAGAAAGCTCTTGAGCAGAGGAGTCACTTCAGATATCTGCTCAAGCCAAATAACATTCACACACACTCAGAAAAACCAAACCGCACAAAACACAAATTCTTGCATACGCTCACACCACGCATGCAACGCACGAACACATGATGGGAGGCAGACAGACGTGAATGCATATGATTGCATCACACAACAAACTCCCCCTCTGGCTGCCAACCATCATCCCACATGTCATAGCTCAAGCATGCACCCTCAATGCACACTCATCCCAGCAAGCTTCATGCCCTTCCAATGCTCAGATTCAGCCAGGCGCTTGGTGAGAATGTCAGCCGCCTGCTGATGGGTCTTCACAATCTCCAGCCGCACCTCCTTGTCCAGGAGCCTCCTCACCCAATGCCACTTAGGCCTGATGTGCTTCGTCAGCCCATGAAGGCAAGCGTTCTCAGCAAGCTTCACAGCTGACTTGTTGTCACAGAAAATCACAGTTGGCTCCTTCTGGCACACTCCAATCTCCTCCAACAAACGCACACCACCTCCTTTGCCCCATGATGCAGAGCCATGTACTCTGTCTCACACGAGGACTGCCCCACCTCGTTCTGCTTCTTGCTGCGCCAGCTCACTGCACCACCTCCAAACAGGCACACATAGCCTCCAATGCTGGTGCCATCCGCCTTCACAGAGTTGAAGCTAGTGTCGGTGTAGCAGGTCAGGAGCATCTCCCCCTTGCCCAAATCAGCTGCACCCCTCTGATGCCGTAGCGCTCACATAGCGGACCAACCTCTTGGCCGCTTCCAGCTGCTCATGACTGGGGCGTGAAACCACACTTGCAAGCCTGGATGTAGCAAAGGCAATGTCAGGCCGCGTGTGGTTAGCCGCATAATTGAGTGCCCCCACCATGGAATGAAACAGCTTCCTGTCACTCTCACCCACCACCTCCTCATCAGCACAGGGCTCCAGAGTGAACCCCAAAGGCAGTGGGGTGGCTGGCTTTCCTCCATCTTGCAGCCCATACTTCTCAGCCAGCCCCTCACAATACTTTCTCTGGTGCAACCTCAACACTCCCTTGTCAAGGTCCCTCTTCACATGCATGCCCAAATAGTACTTCACATCTCCCATCTTGGAGCACTTAAACTGCATCTCCAGCATCTCCTCCACATGCTCAATCATTGCAGACGACTTAGAGAAGAGCAGGATGTCGTCCACATACACCAGGAGCATGAGAAACTGCTCCTTCTCTTGCAGCAGGAACAAGCTGTGATCACACTCACTCTTCTTGAAACCCCCAGCCAGCAGTGTCTCCTCCAACTTGTGGTACCATGCGCGAGGAGCCTGCTTAAGGCCATAGATGGCCTTCTTGAGCCTGCACACCCTGCCGCTCCCATCATCCAACCCCTCAGGCTGCAGCATGTACAGCTCCTCTAGGATGATCCCATTGAGGAAAGCAGTTGTGATATCCATCTGCTTGATCCTCCATCCACGGTTGCAGCCATTTCCAACATCACCCTTAGTGTAGTCCCTTTCCCCACAGGAGCAAAGATCTCGTCAAAGTCCTTCCCCTTTGTCTGCTGAAACCCCTTTGCCACAAGCCTTGACTTGTAGCGGGTCAGCTCCCCATCAGGTCCGTACTTGTGCCTGAAGATCAGCTTGGAAGAAATGGCCTTCTTCCCAGGAGGCAGCTCACACAGCTCCCACGTTTCATTCTCCAGCAGAGAGTCATACTCCTCCTTCACACTCTGCTTCCACTTCTCAGCATCGGGCCCACTCAAG